TCAGAAGAAAAAGTATAAAAATTTTTCTTAAAAACATAAAATATTTCCTTTACAAATATTCAAATCTTTACACCTTAAGTTACCTCAATATCCCAGTTACAGGATTTATTAACAAAACAGACACACAGAAGTATATTGCAATCTTCTTTGTACTTAAGTAACTTCTGTTTTCTAATTCAACACCAGGGTTCCTAAACTATTATAATCATTAGTGGCAATGACATGTAACTGAACAACAATTGCTTTGTATTACTGTAGGTATCTCTTGAAATCTACATTGCTTCTGAAAATTATCCAAGTGTCAAAATCCTGAAGACAGTACATTTTTCCTAATAGTACAGCTTAGAAAAATATACTCATAAATGGTGCCATGTGAAATGATATTAAAAAATTAAGTAAGCTACATAATTTACTCGTATATATCTAGACTCTAGGAAATCAGTGAAATATAATGTATAAATTTATTTTAAAACAACCTAAAATGATTTGATTCTCTCCTATGCTATTTATACAATGCCAAGACGATATGTGAAAATTAAGCAGAATTTTGAGTTTCTAAGAGAATGCCAAATAACTGGTTTCAGTTTTCTCTAACTAAAATGACTAGTAAGCCAAATTTGCCATGAAATTTTGGCTATGTACACAACCTGTGACTTATCAATAAAAGCAAAAATTAAAATAAAGTTATTTTCTATATTGGAAATTATAAAATATTATACTTTTAAAATTTCTTTTAAAAAGTAATATATAGATTTCCTATGAACTTTTGTAGAAAGTCAAAATCTGATCAGAAAGATACTCAGAAACATAAAAGGAAAGTTTTGAAATGTTCACCTTCAGTTTATTTCATAGGTCACTGTTACATCATCTGATAAGATAATTAAAAACATGCAAGCAGCTGGTACTACAGCTAAACAGAGTAATGTAATAGTCTGTAGTCACATGAGCTGGCAAGGGGTTTGCCTCTTTCGGCGAGAAGAAGGTCAGCTGCCCTTGGAAAGAGGAGGGGAGTGGTAGAGAAGGAATACCTTTCTACCATGTAGCCCTTTGCTGTAGACATTAAGTTAAACTTGTATGCAAACTGATCATCAGGAAACTATTGCTGTTCCGCATAACCAGCAAGGTTCACTAAGTTTAATAATTAAATAAGAAAGGAAACTCAACATTTGACAGAAAACATTAATGGTGGTCTTTAAGAAGTACAAGATATATTTCTTAAAACCAGTGCCTTCTCAATCTTATAAACATCTCATTTTAACACATCTTCTACAAATTAGTTGGTAGATTTACAGTCAAATTTTAATTAAAACTTTGAAAACAAGATCTGCTGTGTTACTCAGGCATCATAATATTCATACTGATGCCTTATGAGTTAAATATAGTTGTATCTATCTAATCAGAAGTAAATCCAAAGCAAATCCAAAAGCAAACCCAAAGTAAAACTTCCAAAGCTATTCAAAAATATCTGTGCATGAGCACTTAGACACATGAAGCTATAGTTAAGGGCTGACTGGCTTTCAATTACCTGCTAAAAGTTCTAGATATCTATATCTGAATTTATTAGTAAAACCCCTTGCCAAACACTAGAGCTATCCTTCAACTTTACTAGGTGTGCCAATGTGTTATACAAAAGTAAGTTGGAATACTTTACCAGAGAGAGTTTCAAGCTTCCAGCTAAGCTTGTTTTTAAGCTTTAAGCTTTCTTTCTGCTAACAAATTATTTTTCTCTCTTTTTTTTTCTTTTTTTGGTTTTTCTTTTTTTTTTGGTAGTGGGAAATTGAACTCAGGACCTTGCGCTTGCCAGGCAGGTGCTTATGCCACTGAGCTATAACCCTGGACCAATTTTTCCCTTTATAAAACATTTTTTTCCCTTTTTCTTTTGGCACCTCTAACTTAGAGCACCACAAAAAATTTCTACAAGACCAGAAGGTTAACTATGGTGACAATGATGATTACAGCACTGACTAGAACAAAAAAAACGACCATTATTTATGCAGCATTCATCATATGATTTTATGTTATTACTCTTCCCCTATCAGCTGTATTTTAGTATCCTCACTTCAAAGGTAGGGAAAAGGAAGGTCAACTTGGCCCAAGTCTTTTATATATTCAGAATCAGAATTTCAGCTGACATACTATACTTAGATATTATATTTGAAAACAAACACTCAGAGCTATCCCTTTTTGAAATTTGACCATCTAATATGACAATAACACAAGTAACAGAAAGAATGTAGATTCAGATGTCAACTGAAGACTGAATTCAAAAGGGTACACATGTTTAATGACGAACACTGAGGAAACAAAGTTATCAGTTTACATGGGGTGAACATAGAATAATAACGACTTTGCATTTAGATGTTCAAAAGGCTTTATTTAACACACTTTACCTCAGTCTTTTAAAAAGTTGTGGGGAGGAGACAACTTAGAGATTACAGTGCCCATTTTATAGATGAGAGAGTAAAGCCAACAGTATTCATCCTGGACTCAAACAGACATACCTTAGTATGCTAGTACAAGATATAAGATATGAATTTTTAAGTATAAAGAAAGGTTTGATTTCTGAAACACTTTTAAAGAAACCACTTTGAAGATATCAATATGTAATACAACAAGCATTGTTAATTTCCTACCACTTTGTTTGTAACTCTGTATTGTTTGTATCATTCTTTTGCTATTTTGAAAATGGTTGTCTGTCTGTTAATGTTTTCCTCCTTTTATTTTTAAAATAAAAAGAAAGAAAACAAAGGTAGAAATGCTATACAAAAGAATGCATGAATGTCTGAGGGCTGGAAGAGGTTCATTTTTATGATAATCTATTTCTAGTTATTTTAACAGTGCCACAATCACAACAGAGAAATAATTTTCATTTTCAAAAGTAAATTTTACTGACAATTCTATTGCCATTTTAATGTGATTCTACAATTCATAGTTTTTCTTCAGTTAATATGAAAATATACCCTAGAGCTCTGTTTCTATGAATTCTACATTTAACCCAAGTATCAAATTCACAAGTAAGCTAATTATAAGAGCTACTGCCTACTAAGTTGAAAAATATTCATTTCACACCTTAAATACTATAATACTACTTAATAGCAGCACTGGCCTGTCAACTATTAAAAGTTCACCTTTGCATATGTTACCACCTGAGCTTTTTATCTTGCCTTTTAATTACAATAATCAATTAATATCCTAAGATTACAACAGTGGTAAGCATTGATTAAAAATATTTTGTTAACATTAGTGTTTATTGTATAAAGAGGTGCATTAAGAGTTCATTTTTCAAAATACAATTATTTAATACTAAGATACTTTAATCTGAAAACTATTCAAAAACAAAATAAACTACAAGATAATGTTCTGTCTTCACATTAAAATGTTCCTAACATTATGTTGTACCTATTACTTACTACAATTAGCTAAAATGTAGTTGCAAACTATAATTCTCAAAAAACTATACAAATATTTAAGAATTTTCCTTTCTTTCAAAAATATTTCCCTTTCGTCTTGGTTTTTATACTTATATTTTATAAGCATATTACTATCATAGATTTCACATACAGGAACATATTAACATTCCTCAGCTATGTGCCAAATCATGAATATTTATATAACTATCTTTTATATTCACTTTTCTGGTTGTTGTGATCAGCTGTGACATGTTCAGATGCAGGATTCTACCTATTATTTAATATGTCGAATTTCAAGCTTTGTATCATACTGGAGGACTAGAAGAAAGATCTGGATAATTGCAATGTTTACAAGATAGGCTGGGTACAGTGAAAACACCATGGTAAGAGATGAGCTTTTCTGCTCTGGTAATATCCTTCTAAAACACATTGAGAACATAAGCCTTTTGTAGTATCGATGACACTTATAGAGTCATTATTCACACAGGTCCCAACTGGTATAAAATAAAGATGTTAAGTGTTTCAATTACTATCTCATTTCTCAAATACATAAATAAATTTTTAAAACTTCCTCATTTACTACATCCTTATTAAATTCTTCCTGTATACAAGGCCCTCTCTAAATGTTAAGCCTGCTGGGATCTGAAGAAACAAATGATACAGTTCCAGTTAAGGACACAGAATACATACACAAATAAAAATATAAGCCCAACCTTTATGCTTAATATACAAAAGGAGGTAAATTAATAAGTTTCCAATGTGCAGGATTTCTCACATATATTTTACAGAATTGTCATACATTTTTAGAACTAACTGATCCTAAGGACACTATACTCCAACTGAAGTATTTCATCAATCATCTGAATTGCCAGCCCTAATTTTTAGATATACCAATGCTGAACCTGCATGTTTCCCTAAAATGATCAAGTTCTTACACCATTTTCATTCTGTATATGAATTTTCATGTATACTGCAAACACTTTAATCTTTTTTCTTTCTGATTTATCTGTTATAAAGGACTTAATTCATAAATATGTACATAAGCAAAATTCAAGTTACAGTATAAGGAAGATATTAACAAAATATAAGATAAAATATATATACTGTAAACTAGTAAAACCTTTTAATAATTACTAATTGAGAAACTCCCTTGTTTGCTAAAGAATTCAAATAGTATACTAACAGACAATACTTAATTCAACCATGAATTAAATTTTAAGCTTTCTTAGCCACTCCTCAGCAGTATATTCCACTGTAGCAGGAAACTTACAAAAAAGAAAGCCTTTATTTTTGTACTATAAAAAATACTAGAAAAACAAAAAAGGGTTATAATGAAGCTGAATACAATTACTCTACTATAGGATAACAATAGATATCTGCAGCAAGTTCATTTACTGAAGAATTTTGGATATTAATTACATTTTCTGCAACTCATAAGTATATAATCACATATCACAATGTTTTTTTAAAATGCTACATTTTAAAAGCAGAGGTAGCAGTTCCTCAGTTTTCTATGATCATGTGCCTGTAAGTGCTACGTATCTTATACATTATTTTATAAAATTATGTACTTGAGTTTTCATTACCTACCTATATGAATTAAAAGTCCCTTCAGAGTCTAAGGTAGAACTTGTTCTTCCATTTTTATTTGAATCTCCTGAAAAAAAATTGAAAGCACTGAAATAATGTAGATCACAAAACTGAGCATTTTAGTTAAAAAAAAAAAACAAAACACAAAAAAACTACTGTGAGACAGCTCTAAGGTATGCAATAATCAAAAGCATATATATTCCTTACACCTTCCCAAACTATACTTTGTACTAAGAGTCTTTTAGGCAAGAAATTCATTTAGATGCCAAAATATAAAGAAAACCATTACTCCTAAACAGGTATTAGTAATACCAAAATAATTATGAAGAGAAACAAATGAAGTATGATGCAGGCAATTTTTTCTTATGAATCATAAACAAAACTAAAACTTATAAACCATTTACTTATAAGCTAGCGTCATAAACAAATACAACTTTGTTATTGTCATTAGTGATTAACCACCCATCCTGATCACTGGTACAGACAAAATTTGTGTGGCAAAGACCAGATCTGGCAGATTTTGAACTCCCACTTTTCCACTATTAGGAACTTCTTTGACAGAGAGGTAAATCAGAAAACAGACTTGGGAGGTGGTGATTAAGGATGCATTTTAAAGAAATTTAAATATACCTTAAATTTTTTCCCCACAACTTTATGCTTCACCTACTATAACTTCAGCAATTTAAACCACAGCAGAAAAAAACACCCCCAAACACAAATTTTTAGCAATCCCAAATTTAGAACAAAGTTATAAATGTCATTTATATGCTAAAAATAAAAATTAGATGACTAAAATTTTTAAAATGCTAAAATACATATTCTTACTGACAAAATTTTAATACCTTAACTTTTAGAAATATACTTTTTACAAGGCCATATACTGTATTCTACCATTAAATATACTATTTGTTCTTTAATATAAATTAAAAAGACTAGAATCTCTCTGCATTTTATACTTCTAGTATCTGCAATGTAACTGACAAACATCAGGTTATATTCATTTTTATAATATGTAAAACTTAATTTAATGATTTCTCCAATTGTAATTTATACTTGTAACCTTTTCTGACCAGTCTAAGATGTCACTGGAGAGAAGCACAGTGGTCTTGGTTAAGTCAAATGGCAATTATGGAGCTTTCAGTTTAGAGATAAAAGGGCTGGGGATTTAGCTCAGCTGCACAGTACCTGCCCAGCAAGTGTGAGGTCGTGAGTTCAAGACCCAGTACCAAAAAAAAAAAAAAAAAAAAAAAGTTTAGAGATAAAATTGAGTATAGTGCTTAAGGTAGTACACTTACATGATTAGACTACACTGTAAATGGTTACTGAGGGCTGAAATGTAATTTTAATGAGAGCTACCAATATTTTTTACGCATTTTATAGCTTACAGATTGGTCAAGAATGTTGGTTCTCTTCAATATCTTCGCATCTCTAACAAAGTGTTCAGAATTCTTAGAATTGCACTCAGCCCAGTTCAACTTCTAATTCTACTATGTTTTCAAAATATAATACAGGAATTTTATCTTAAATTTAACCAACACTAAAATGATTTACTACACTTAAAAACGCGACAATTTATAGAAGAAAATAATCGATAAAACTTAAATGTTTAAGATCAACTTAGCTAGGGATATATTACCAATTCTTTGAAACCATGGGTAAGACAGCATATACTTCTTTTTAAAAATACATAACACTAATAAATGAAAAGAATGAAAAGAAAATTAGTCTCTCTCTTGCTAAATGAAAATTTGCTATAACACATGTTATTTAACAGCTTGCAGGCATTTCCTGTGAAACATTCCATAATCAGCATAGAATAAGTACTATATTATAAAAATGTGAACCTCTCTTTAAAATGAAAGAGTATTTAAATATACACAATTTCACCAACAGAATACTTATTCCTTTAACCTGATATTTACCAGATCAAATAGAAAATCCTTTAAATGTGAAATTTGTTTTCGAAACAAGCAGCTTTTATCATCATAAGACATTACAAAGATTTTCTTAAGTTTTTAACTATTATCACATGAAGATATCATGTGAAATGTAACTTTCAAGGTGCAAAAGATAGTAATAAGGAAAAAGAGCAGTTTTTCTTTTTAAAAAACATACCAAATAAGGAATATAATTGACATTATTTGAGAAAAGATTTCAGAGTTTGATATATGGGGAAAATGCAATATAGTTTTGAAGCAGGAAAAACTGCTTTGTTCCTTCAATCTTCTAGTTGAAATTATAGCAAATGTTTATGAAAACATCTATTCTTACAGTTATAAATTCTTAATTTTAGTATGGATGATTCCAGACTCTTATTTTAGAAGGAAACTATTGAAAGGTTTACAAAAGAATGACTGTATTGGTAATTCTAGAACACTGTAGATATGATGTGCTATACATCCTGTAGAGACACTCATTGTGTGGAACATTTGGGGTGTTTAAAACTGATAGCTAGGAAAAAAATCAAAGGAAAATGGAAATGCTCATCTTTCATTTAAGCTGTAAAATGATAAAACATATCTGTAACATAAGAAAACACTAAGAGTTACAAACACATTACTTTACTATTTAATTTAATTTGGAGGTTAAGTATAATGAAATAAGTATTAATTTTATCAGGAGCTAAGTAACTGTGATGACAATACAATAACGGGAATGTACATGTGATATTCCTCAAAAATAACAACAGAGGGTGCAAGAGAGTTTAATATGATGTTTTTTAGTTGCTATTCTGATTCCTCAACTAAGTTTCCTGGTACCCATAAGTATGAGAATGCATAGGCTGTCTTCCAATAACATATATACACATGAATATGTCATTTAAGTAATCTTAACCAAGGAGTTTCAAATGATGAAACAGAACAAATACCTAAATGGATTTTAACATATGTTTTACTTGCTTGAAAAATAATTTGAGAATAAATTAATATAATTGGAATTTAAAGGTATTCTAATACTAAACTAATTAATAACATAATCCAATTATATTTAAGTTTATGCATGATAAATATATGCATTATTAGCTATGCTATTATATTTGTACAATATATTCTTTATCTACAGAAAATATTCATCATTGCTTGTGATCATAAGAGTATGGAATTTAAGTAGCATTTCTGATTAATTGGTAAGCAACTTTGCAAAACGAGTTCATGATATTCACAATTAAATAAGGATGGTATTTGTTTTTTTTTTTTTTTTCCTCCGGTACCGGGAACCGAACTCACGACCTTGCGCTTGCCAGGCAGGCGCTTTGCCGCTAAGGATGGTATTTGAAAACAGTCCACTGGTAAGTAGATTGGTCTAAATAAAGACACAAAAAGCTAGTATTTTCCAGTAATTATTTCTAATATATGTTATATTATATATATCTTATTAAGCCAATAATATGTGTAACAGTGCCTTAAATTTCAATATAGAATGAATTATGGATTTTCTCTTAGGTTTTTCTTTCATGTTTGGCTAAGAGCATTTACTGATTCTATCTGTATACTCTTGACATCATGCTAAATGAAGGTTCACAATAGATTTTTGTAGTACTTTTCATGCACAAACATCTGTCTCTTTTGTGAAGGGAAAACCAGAGATTTTAAACTAGGTTAGGTTAAAAACAGTCACATTAATGACCACACATGGCACCTATAAACTCTGAAATGTATTTCATAATTTAAAAAAGCTTTACCACTGAATTGTTAGAGAATTATAATGAACTATATGTGATATTTAGTAGTAAATGGTAGGGTGACTTGCTTCAAATTGTGAAAACAAACTATGGGTTTAGCAAGGGCCTGGAAGCTCTTCTTTTTTTTAAAATGAAGTACAGTATACTACAAAAATGTTTTAATTAAATTTAGAACCTCTTATAAACGACATGATTTTAAAAACTGTGAGTTAAGTATACTCATATGTTGATACACAATAAAGGCAAAGCATAATAATCACTTCAGCTGTCATCACCCATCAACACAGTAGCCACTAAGTTTAATACATTTCAGGGATCAAAGTAACTACCAGCCTCCCTAGCTAAATATTAATGCTAAAAATCTAGATTGTCCCTTAGCTCTAAAAACCAGTGTTAAAGTCCATTAAGAAATCCATGAATTTTATGATTTTTCTATTTTTTCTATTATTGTAAATTTATCTACACTGTCATGATTTAATGGCCATATGTACTTTTCTAATACTTTCAAATTATTTTATACATTGAAACCTCAGGTATAAAATAGAAATACACAGGAACTATTTTAAGAAAATATTTTATTCCTCTGAAATCATTAACAATTTTCTTAAAACAACGAAGTAAAGATGGGAAAACTAACAAAGTATGCTACTCTGATTGTTCATTCTCTCACAGAAACAAAGAAAAGAAGCCAAAAATGTGTTAGCAACATCACATTAGAAACCACCCAGAAACACAGGAGAGTAAAAGGCTGAACTTTATTCTATCTGGGTGCAGATAGGCTGAGATCATGAATATATCAGCAGCTGGCCAGAGGAAAAGGTAAGTCTATATAGGGTTTGGGGATAAAGTTATAAACCCAAGGGATCTGGATGGAATGTTTGGGGTCAAAGTCCAAGGATGGTCAGTGCAGGTTGGCAATGGGGAGACTGCAGGTCCAGTGCTAAAGTTTCTTTATGGTCATCTGTTCCGTTTGCTGAGGACAGCAGGGCCCTATTAGTTGTTTCTTAATGTTTGCTGAGAATGACCCATTTGCCAAGGTCTTGCCGGAGTTAGGCTGTTGAACAATATGAAAACAATAAACTATTGTCTAGAAAACAATATGACTACTTTAAGAGCAGTGCAAGCTTGGCTAAACGTAAGTCTGCTACAGCATGACAGCAATCCTTGGATACAGGGAAAGATTTTTATTTTTGTTTCTTAGATTTTGTTGCTTTTTATAGTTAATGACATTCAAGGATATTGTATGTCTGTCAATACCCTAGCTGAATACAATCTAAGAAACAAAGGATTCAGGGACCACATATGTAAGTACTTGCAAAACCTCCGGGAAATTTACTAAACAAGAGAACTACAATAGTCTAACATTTAAAACAACAACAACAACT